CTGTTCCCACCTTCTATGAAGAGCTACGCGCCAGCGCCACACTGAGGCGCACGCCAAGCCCTTGACTCAATTGGCCGAACTCCCAACACTCACGCCACACGTGCAGGTCACACCAGCCCATAGCTTGCACTATTCTGAAGACATCCAGTATTCGTCTTGACGCTTGCACCTTTTCTTTTGTCTTAATGCGTGTACATTTGTATTCGACAATTCTTCACGGCGTGACCTCATTTCCCAACAACCTCCCAATTTCCTCGGCAATCGCCAACGTCTTCTCCTCGCTCAACTTCTTCCCAATCACCTGAACAGCAACCGGCGCACCGTGATAAGCGTCAGGGTCGTATTCCGCCTGAACACTCGCATCCAAGTCACTCAATGGCTTGTAGTCCGCCCGCTTGCCGTCGACCTTGCTATCAGCAAAAGTGACAGGAACGACGACGCTTGTAAAGTCGAGCAAGTTGATGGCAGACGCATAGCCGTAGTACTTGAACTGGTTGTGTCGGATGGCAGCTGTAGGACTGATGGGGCCGACTATACAGTCAAGCTCGCATCCAAGTTCAGCCTCGACCTCTCGCCACTTGGATAGATACTGCATCTGGTAGTCCCACTTTTGCAGATGGATGTCCCATACATCGTTCAAGTCGGCTTTTTGGATATCCGGGTTGAGGAGTTCTTTGATGTTGGGGATTGGCGGCTCCCCGGAAGCTTTGATGTCCCTCATCACGTCCTGTTGCATGATCAGCTATGCGAAACTGCGTAAGGCCGATCGAGGGGATCTTACCGTGCTGCCATCTGCGCCATAAATCTTGTTAGCGAGATCATGGGCAAAGTCATGCTTGTAGGGAGTCCACGGCACGACTTTGTGCTTGTTTTGTTTCAAGACGTCAACTACCTGCTCAATCCCGCGCAGTACGGGAGGATGCGGGAGAACCTGTACTCTTAGCGAAGGCGATTATGCCGTGATTTTATGAGACTCACGTTGCCGTCACAATTATAGTATCCGATGGTAAGGCCAGACGAACCCAGCTTCGCTTTCACGGCATCCTCCAGGTCAGATCGCCACGGCATTGGGACGACTTTGGAGTCGTAATTCCAGGGCTCTTGCTGGAGCACCGAAGTTAGGAACAGCCTCAAGTCTGGATAGTCAGTCTCTTGGTGAATCATGCGTTGAGTCCATCCACATACCGGCTGCCGAGTGCGCTATGGGTCCGACGACACTGTGTATAGTCTCCTGTCCCTCCATACTGTTTGCCATTTTCGCATACGGCATACGACCATGACTCGGACGAATGCCATACAAGAAGTTAAAAGCCGATGGAATCCTAATCGAGCCGCCAATGTCGGTTCCAACTCCAATAACGCCTCCACGGAAACCGATCATAGCTCCTTCGCCACCTGAACTTCCGCCGCACGACCAGTTCTTGTTGCGCGGGTTTGTCGTTCTGCCGATGATGTTGTTGACGGTTTCGCAAACCATCAATGTTTGCGGGACACTTGTCTTGACGTAGAAGACGGCACCAGCCTTGCGGAGAAGTGCTGTGAGGACGGAGTCTTCTTTGTCGTACTTTCCGAGCCAGGAGACGTAACCCATTGATGTCTCTTTCCCCTAATTTTAGTCATGTCAGTCCTAAGTCTAATCTACTTTCGAGGGTATAGTTGTACACAGATTAGGAGGGACGCGTCATACCTTGATCCGCAGTTGATCTTTCAGTGAGATGGGAAGACCATGCAAAGGTCCAATGGGCTTGTTGTGCTTAGCATAATACTCATCCAGCCCACGGGCCTGTGCAAGAGCCTCTTCGGGGAAGAACTCATGCACACAGTTCGTCTACGATCAGTCGTTAGCTTACACACTCGCACCTGCCATAGATTCTAATCTCACCAGTTGCTGCGCTATAGCAGCTCTTTTACAAAACGCAAGCGTGACATCAACCGATTTCAGCTTGCCCTGCGCCAATTGTGCAACGATGTCAGTCGCCGATGATTCGGTAATCTCGATCTCTTTTGCAGAAAGCAGGCCTGATTCCTTTGGATATGCAAACACATTGCTGTCGCTCGGAGGTGTTCGGATCAACCAGTCTGAGGGGATAGATTCGGCAATGCGCTTTCGCTTGTCAGCAGCAAGCTGCTCCCAGTTTGAACTCATTGTCGATATGCGTACGCTGTTTACGGCGATGACAGAAGTTTGGTATGGAATACGGTCTGTTCAATGCGCAGAGAGTCACCTGTACCGATACTGGCGCCGGACTAAAGGGCGATGATAACGCTCATACGTACTGCGTTTATCAGGATAGTCGCTTGCGCCTACCGCATCGAGACTCGACCCCACCTTACGTGCGGAGCATTTCCGACAACACGGCTCGGTATTTCGCTTCGTGACATCTACGATGCTAGTTGTACTCAGGTCTTGTAGACCCGGTTGAGCTGTCAGACTTGCAGCGATAAAGTTTCGATAATCCCCGGTCATTTTACGAGACAGGACGCCGTACAACGTGCCGCTTTGTACAGTGCTAACGATGGCTGCATGACGTCACTCGGATCACACCTAGGCAAGCTCCATCGGTTGTAGTGCTGAGTACACAACGCGACTTAGGCTGTCGCTATCGCATGCTAGTTGTGTTCTACTCATCTAAACTTCTCAGAATAGAAAGTATTCCCAACGTGGATATGTTTACCGCACTACAGCTGTACACTCGACCGGCAAAGAGCGGATAGACACGCTTCGTCCTTTCGTGTTCGCGCTCTAGCCCTCACGTATTCCGTATCATCACACAATCTTTAGCTAGGTCTTTGGGATACACGCTGTAGACGCCATTTCGTTCTTTCCACGCCCTACAAGGCAGCGAACATGCCTACGTATAGAGCGCTCGATGAACCGATGTTCTGAAGCGAACCTTGGATACTTCTATGATAACTCATATCTTGAGACCATCTATTATCAACAAAGCTGACATCGTCAAGACTTCAGCATTGGACAACACATCGGAATCAGCAACCCCTAGCCAACCACGATGTATCTCCGCGCCGTCCATGCTGAGGCAGATATTGCCAAACTACATCAATTCATCCGCGCAAACCCACTAGGCATCTTCACCACAGCCATCGAATCCAAATCATTTCCCTTCCTCCAATCCAGCCACATCCCCTGGGTCCTGGACACCGAAGAACCCAAAGCCGACTCGACCCATCTCGGCGTCCTCCGCGGCCACATCGCTCGCGCCAACCCCCAAGCAAAAGCCCTAATCGAACATCTCAAATCCGAAAACAATGAGACAGATCAACCGCGCCAGACCCTCTCCCGCGACATCATGATCCTCTTCAACGGCCCAGCCCACCACTACGTCACACCCAAATTCTACACCGAGACGAAACCAGTAACCGGGAAAGTAGTGCCAACGTGGAACTACTCCGCCGTCCAAGTCTACGGACGAGCCACCATCTTCCACGACACAAAGCACCCTTCTACAGGCTCTTTCCTCGACAAACAGATCCGAGACCTGTCACTGCAGTCCGAGAAAGAGATTATGGGCTACGAGAAGCCGTGGGAGGTTGACGATGCGCCCTCGAGTTATATTGAGATATTGAAGAAGGCGATTATTGGGGTGCAGATTGAGATAATGGATTTGGGGGGCAAGTGGAAGATGAGTCAGGAGATGGGGGTTGGGGATCAGAAGGGTGTGGTTGAGGGGTTTAGGGCGTTGGGGTCGGATGAGGGAGATGAGATTGCGAGGACGGTTGAGGAGAGGGGGAAGGTTGGGGTTAAGTCCTAGGCACGTAGGTATATCTACGAGAAGGTTATGGTTGGAGGGGTGTTTTGTTGGGCTGTTGGAAGCGGGTGGAAAGGCCTTTGGCTTTGTCAATCGCGTTGCGATGCCTATCTTTTTGTAAACGTTTTATGCTAATGTATGAGGGGACAAACCCGGGGTATCATATCCAAACGCCGATGCAAGGTGCAAAAAATGCGGACTAAGAAACCTTCGACGGTACTACCAGCTCGCCAGCACCGCATCCACTTTCCGCCTCCCTTCATTGTCCAGCCCCTCCATATCAACATCCTCCTCATCCTCCGCCGTAGAAGGAACCTGCACATCTCCAAACTTATCTTCCACACGCGCCGCGACCCGTATCGCCAGCGTGCGCGTCTTTGCCAGCTCCGACGCAAGCGGCGCATCCTTCCACACCAGGTTCGGCTGTATACTCTCCTTGGGGTTGCGGTACGGCTCTAGCAGCGAAAGCAGTGTACGATACGTATCCAGCCTGTTCTGAAGTGTCTGCCGGCGAGCAGAGAGTTCTTGGAGCCGGGATACGGAGGAGAGGTATTCGTCTTGTGTGACTTCGGCGTCGCGGTCGGGCCATGTGACTGGGAGTTTTGCAATGTTCTCGTCGAGGGTTAGGTCGTCGTTTTGGTAGAGGGTGTGCGCGTCGTTTTCGGGTAAGGAGGAGGAAGTATGCGCGTCTTCGTTGTCGTCGTCGGCGTGTTGCGCGCCGGAGTCCCAGTATAGGATGTCTATTTGCTCGACGACGTGCTCGATCATTTGGCGGCTGTAGACTTTTCGCGAGTGCTGTTTGAGGTCGCGGTTGACTGTTCGGTAGCCATTAGTGCTAATACGTAAAGCATGTGAGTGAGACGACTATATACCTTTATCAAGCACGCCTTTCATAACACTGAGTTCAATGCCACCATCTTGCGCAAGAGTGCGTAACCGTTCTGACGGCGGTATTGGACGCGATAGAATGTGTTTCCTGGTCTGGAGAAACCTTTGCTTCTGCTCAACGACAGTGCCTTGTTTCGATCTCGCATTTGGCACGCGTCGGTCCATTGTGAGAGCGTTGGGTAGCGTTGACCATCATTGCGGACATGGACATGTGCAGGCAATGTTGGATCGCGGGGACTAGCGCGACGCGTGGAAATCAGACTTACCTCATCTAGATAGCGCGCTCGTCAAATCTCACCTAGCCCTGGAGGTACCTTGATCCATCCCATCTCCATCACAGCCGCAATGTTACTCCTCGTACTCATACTCGCCCTCCTGATCATCGCACCTGCGTTGACTTACTATCTTACAACATCCATTTTTTACTCCGTCGTGAAGGACAAGGAGTCGTCCGGGAAATTACCACCATCAATTCCCTACTCTGTTCTAATAGCTTCCCATTATCTCGGCTTCGTGTTCAATGGAACGCAGAAGTACTTCGCGAAGCTGATGTAAATCCCATTTTTGGTAGTGGTTGGAAAATACTGACACATCTTAGTGAAGAATATGGACGGTTCGCGCCGTTCCTCGTCTTGAATTTCGCCGTTCTTCGAGACCCGGAACATGTGAAGAAGGCCATGCAAGCATGTAGGCCAGCCATCACAAGGAGGAATATGCACGAAGTAATTGTACTCTCTCGCAAAGACCTTGAGAAGAAGTATGACGACGCCGCTGCCCACTTGCAAGACATCAGCTTTGAGCGTGGCGTGACAACATGCAAGTATATGGAAGGCAGCTCGCTGGCCACCATGACCAACCTGTATACCGATATCTTGTCGCGTAACATGAACGATAAGATGTTTCAAATCAGCAGCTGGACCCAGATAGAAGACGTCTGGTCGTTCCTCGAGCAAGTCCTTACAAGGTGCTCTGTGGAATTGCTCTTTGGCTCCGCCATCCTCAAGCAGTATCCTGGCCTCATAAAAGACTACTGGAAGTTCGAAGAAGCTATCCAAGGCTTCCTATCAACAGATGATTTGTTCAGGACCCCACCTTACAAAGAGTCGCTCGACCGGCTATGGCAGGGCGTCGAAAAGTGGCTGAAAGTCAATCACAGTGGCACCGAGTTCGCGAAGACTGGACCTAACGACGCAGATCTGGATGAGCATAGGGGTTCGAAGTTCATTCAAGAACTTGATGATATGATTGCGAGCAGCCAGCTACCTTCTGAGGCAAGAACCGCGGAGATGTTAGACGTATTGCACTAGTAGGCATACTCCGTGAAACTATACTATCCTGGCTCGCACAGTCGTGCTGACCTGCTTATAGCTCGAATGTGGAACTGGTCCCTTGCGCCATTTGGACCACGATCGAATCGCTACGCAAACCATACCTAGCCGAACAAATCACTGCGATGGCCTCCGCAGGCAAGCCGACAAAAGCTGCCGCGTATGATGTGAATAGGATTCTAGCTAGGCCCCTCTTCCAGTCTCTGCAGGCAGAAGTTAGCCGTCTCCGCGTGGCAAAGTATAGGATATCTATCCCAAGGGCTGATGTTGCCCTTGACAGCGAGTGGATACTGCCCAAAGATTGCAATGGAATTTCGTTTTCGCGAGATTTCGCACTGAACACGAAAGTGTGGGCAAAGGTGCGGCCACGCACCGTCGAAAAACCACTGGAGGAATTCTGGGCTGAGCGCTTCTTGATCCCTGAGAAAGACACTTCACGGGCACAGGGTCAGCGAAAGAGCCGCGGTAGTATGAATGAGGCGAGATTCGACGCGCAAGATCTCGAGCTGCTGCTCCCTGCAATCGGTGACAAGATGGCGTTCGACCTCGCTAGCCATTATTCCAGAGCCATGCAAGCAGCGACTATAGCTGTTCTATTCAACGAGTTCGAGATACAGCTATGCGATCCGGATTTGATCGATGCAGCGATGCCTGAGTTGCGGGAGTCGGCTTTTGGACTGGTGCGGCCGAAGGAGAAAATAGCCGTGCGCATACGCAAACGCAAAGCTAGCAAGGAGCAGTGAGGGAGGGCCCTTCCAATTTCGGATGTGGCGCAGTGTTGCTGTGTGATTGTCGTGTAACCCCCAAAATTTTTATTTACCGTCCTTTCGACCACGCACTTCAAGCACTTTGTGTGTCCTCCTTACCTCCTCGAACACTAACGCGATCACAACGACTATCGATTGGCCTCGAAAATGGAGCTTGATCTACTCAGCGTCGTCAAAGGCTTGTTCGCAATCGCCTTGACGTACTGGTCCAGCAAGACCGTCTACAATGTCTTCTTTCACCCACTGGCTCACTTTCCCGGTCCGTGGTGGGCGACGGCGTCATATCTGGCGGAGTTCTACTACGACGTCCTGCAAGGTGGGCAGTATCTCAAAAAGGTCATTCAAATGCATGAGAAATATGGTAGGTACTAGACACGAGACGCAATCCACACAAAAAGCATTGGCTAATGGCACGCAGGCCCCCTCGTACGAGTCAATCCGGACCATCTCTCATTGAACGATCCCTTCTTCTACACCGAGATTTACTCAGGCGCTGGACGGAAAATGAACAGTAAGTGTCTCTGTGCGAACTGCATGTAAGACCTACGCTAACTTCGTACACCTACGTTTAGAGCACCCCGAGCTCTCACAAACCGTAGCTACGTCTGTAGTCTCCACCAAAGACCACGACCTGCACCGACAACGTCGAGGTTACATTGCCAACATGTTCTCCAAGAAGTCTATCTCGGATCTCGAGAATGTTGTCCAGTCAAAAGTCGACAAGTTGGTCATGCTGATGAAGCAGGCCTATCGTACAGAAGAGACACTCATCGGACATCTCATGTTTGGCAGCCTTGCGGTTGACATCATCTCGCACTACGCGTACGGGGAGAGTTTCGGCGACCTCGATAAGCCTGGATTACCGTGTGAGCTCCAGCGAGACGTCAAAGGCGTAGCGTTGACTTTGAACCTGCGCAAATTCTTCCCGGCCATGGATGCGGTTCTGATGCGTATTCCCGCCTGGTTGATCGTCCGTATTAACCCGTCTATCGTCAGCTGGTTGGACTTCGATAACCGAATCACGAGATACTCCATCGAGGCGCTGAAGAAGAGCCAAGAGGGGGTGGAGCCAGCCAAGCCTAGGACGATATTCGATGCGCTACTCAGCTCTAAAGTTCCCGAAGAAGAAAAGACGCTGCAACGATTGAAGGATGAGGGCACGCTTATCTTGTTCGCCGGTGTGGATACTACAGCTCGATTTCTGACTTGTGCGATGTGCTACTTGCTCACTTATCCCGGTATATTGGCGAAGCTGCGAGCGGAGCTGGAGTCCCACTCTTCGTCGACCTTGACTGAGCTCGAGGCTCTGCCGTATCTGGTATGTCGATCGCCACACTCAGTCGTACCGCCTAACACAGACTAGACAGCCGTCATCAACGAGTCTCTTCGATTTCAGTGTTGCTTCACAGGCCGCTTTCCACGCGTGGTCGTTGACCCTATTCCCTACAAGGACCTGCTCATTCCATCTGGTGTACGTATGACACCTACTTTGGGGCTTCAATTGTCTAACACTACCAAGACCATCATCGGCGCATCCCCGTATCTCCTCAACAACCACCCCGACGTATTCCCAGACCCTCACATCTTCCGGCCCGAGCGATGGATCGAAGCCAAAGCTCGCGGAGAATATCTCGACAAGTATCTCGTTACCTTCTCGAAGGGCAGCCGAGCTTGCCTCGGCATCAAGTAAGACGATATGCCATGTTGTACGTTGAAGCCATACTAACAGACTTTAGCCTCGCATACGCGGAGTTATACCTCACTATCGCAGCCATGGTTCAGAACTTTGACCTGGAGCTTGTAGATTCCTCTATCGAGAACATCACGCCTGATAGAGACTTTGGTCTGGCTTTTGACAAGAATTACAACTTTGGCGTCAATCTGAGGGTCACCAAGGTACGGAAAGAGTGAAGGGTGGGTGTTATGCTGGACGATCTGTATCTTGATGTATCGGGAGCACGTGCAGAGTTTCATCATCTGCAGTGACTATCATAAGCTTGTCATCACGACGGGAGCCATCTACTCTACAGCAGAAATGACATCAGTGGAGGATCTTTCCATACCCCTCATCTCTCCTCGATAGTCCTGGAGAGCAACCAGTGTCAGGCATAGATTCGACATGTTACAGTCCCTCGTCCCCAACATCAGCCGATCTAGCCTGCGCCGCACCCAAAGCTACTCATCCATATACCAAAGATCTTGCCCGCGAACCACGCACTCGTACTCTCAACTACGTTCAGTAGTACTGTCACAACAGCACTATATTGACGTCAGCTCATTCCCCTTTGTTACCTCTCTAGTGCAGTATGCTGTATCCTTAGCTGGCATTGGAACACTTTGAGACTTACTCTAGCAGTTGTATCCGGTATGGTATCGGCATGTGTGCGCCTCATACCTAGGGGCATTCGCGACCGATTGTTTGTAGTAAATTGGCGGAAAATACGGGGGGTTAGGAATTGGCTGATCGAGAGGAGGGGTTGCCGCGAGTGGGTGCGCAACGACGAATGCCGTAAACGCAAAGAAGAGGATTGTTGCGAATGCGAGACGAGGCATGTTCACGATGGCGATTGTTGATACTGGAACCAGAAGGAGGATATAGAGGGAAGTGGATTTGTAGATCAGGGAGCGTGAATAAAAGGTAACAATCCGGAAAGCTATATCCAAGCGAGCGGAAGAAACCAACCAACAAACATTCCGTCAACACATATCCATCACATCCCCATCACTATCACAATCACCCACCACCTCGATAACCACCCGCCCCATTCAATCTCATCCAACCATGCCCACAAGCTTAACAAACAAGTCCCTCACGCGTCCCCTAAAAGCTACCCGGGACGCACACGTGTCACCCCTTGTACCACAACCACCCCCCTCACAAACCAGCCAGCCCATCACACCCCCATACAACTGTACCCGCAAGCGCCCTTGCACAGCAGATTCTTCTTAACAGCCTTGCACACCTGCTCATCGTAACAAGCACCTTGTTTCTTCCTTATCTCATTGGGGAGGCAGTGGTTTACCTATGGGAGGAAATTGTCAGAATGGGTTGTTTGTAGGTGTGGAGTGGGGTGGGCAAGTGGTAGGGTTTTGAAATGTTTGGGTTACAAGTATGGAGTGGTATCGGTTGTGGGTAAGGGAAGTGATGGGATAGGAGACGTACCTTGGTGTAGAGATCGATGACGAGGGCACATGTTCCGCAGATGTTGGATGGGTTGTCGGTCATGATCTGGCGTTCTGCTAGTTCGAGGGAGATGAGGGGGGTGGCGGTTGCGACGGTGGTGAGGGCTACGAGGAAGAGGGTTGGGAATTTCATGATGATGGTAACTGGTTGAGTGCTTTCTCTGTGGTGGAGTAGAGTTGAGTTGAGTTGAGTAGAGAAGAGTGAGTGTGGTTCGATGGAGCTGATGGGTAGCTGTGCTGGAGTATTTCAATAGGCACGATGCTCCAAGTATTTATCTACCTACAGTGAATGATGGAGTTGCGATCCTGTTGCCTGTGTTGGTTAGCCGGGGTTTCTTTCATGTTCGTATCGTCTGGTAGGTCTTTGGGTAGGCCGCATGGACTTTCCTTTATTCGTCCCTTGCGAACTGTTTGGAATGTACGAAGCGACAAAATATACTGCGGATAGTACGGCGAGGATCGCCGGATCAGTATCAGTATCGATTTTGCATGGTAGTGATGCATTTTGTAGTTATCCGATACTTCACACCAACAAGCCACCATGGTAGGATCCGCAGACTTGGCAATATCTCTTCGTATTATGTTGATTCCTAGAGTTCGAGCAACACTCTCTGCCTTCGTTCTAGTCTCGTCCCCCAATACAGTTTCTTTGTATGCACCTACGCGTGTCAACAAGTCTACTCATCTGCCCGGCGAGATGTTCGATCAAGATCACAGGTTATTGATCTTCGACCGAACATAACACCATAACCTGTGATCTTGATCGAACACAACACCAGGCAGACGAGCAGGCTTATCGACAAGCGTAGGCACACACGCTTGAAGACCACGTCGTACCCCGGCACGCCTAGGCACACTTAACCACCCCGTCCACCCCTCTCATCCTGCATACCAATAGCTGGGTCGGGCGCCTCGGGAAACTCCTTCTTCGCCTTTTCCTTCCCACCAGCCGAGTCCTTTCCTTCAGTCGCATGACCACCGCTGCCCTCTTTTTGTGCGCTGCTTCATGGTATTAGCCGTATGTTGCGATAAAGCCACGTTCATTGCCTTCCATCCCCGTATGTATGTTGCTGGAAACCACTCACTCTATGCCTGCCTTTGCATTGCTCTCCTGAACATTGTGTGTGTCGCCCTGTTTGACCTTCTCTTGTACCGCATGCGGGCTATCGCTGTCGTATTTGTCCGTCTTGGTCTTTGAGTTGGTGCTTAGGTTGTTGGGGTATTGCTCGACGCGTCTTGAGGCGGAGAGAGAGAAAGGTCGTGTGGATGGGGCGGTGAGGCGGAGGGTCCTTGTGGACCGGATCATGCTGTTGCGAAACATGGTGGCTTGGGTCGTCGAGCCTCGAGCAATGTATTACGTAGGTGGTGAGGGTTGAAGGTGAGGTTGTGTATGTGTCAATTGGGTCGATTTGATGATTGAGGTCAGGGTGGATGGGTGTCAGGAAGCAGAAGTCCAGAAGGAACCGAGGTATGCAAAAGCAAATGACGCATGACGCGGTTGCACATTTTAGCTAGCAATGATGATGTATGACGCTCTCTCCAATTGTACCTGGCATGGCTGGCGGCATGCGGGTCATAGCTCCACCTGACGCGCCTTACCGCATAGGGGTGGCATCTACCCCTCCCCCACATTTCGCGATTTGAGCCTCATCGCGAAGACGGGCCCAGGCTAGCATCCTTGAACGCGCATCGTGCCGAAATCGACATCGAAGACTATCGGAGGTACCGACTAGGTATACAACACTCGACCACATCTTCGTTCGGCGCCACAGACGTTGCAGAGCAGACAAAGACCACGAGCGGCACAGCAACATGGCCGACCAGAAAGACTGGAAACCAGAGGACTTCCCTTGCACCCTGTACGCTTTCAGTCCATAATCTATGCAATTCACATTCCTAACACGACCTCAGCACCCTCAACATCCCCTTCCCAACCCCTCACCTCGCCTCAACCGCCTCCCGCGCCCTCTCCGTCGACGCCGAACTCTCACCCCTCGTCCGCCGCGCATTCACGCTCACCACACCCCCCTCATTCTCATCCACATCCTCATCCACAGACCAAAGCGTCCTACAAGTAAACTACGCAGCAACCACAAACCGCATGTTGCGCGTCGCGGTCAACGGGTTCATAGAAAGCATAGGCGTTGTGATTGGTGTGATGAAGGATCTAGACACGGATGTTGTGTATGAGGCTACGAAGGAGGGGTTGGACGGGGTGCAGGGGTTGGATAGGGAGAAAGTGGGCTGAGGAGAGGTATGGGGAGTAGCAATTTCTAAGTGCAGATCTGCAAGGCTGGGAGGTGCGACGCGGAAGACTGGGGAGGAGAGGGAAGACGCGATGAGCGTTGAAGAGGCGACGACGAGGATGATGATGATGGACAAGCCCCCCACACGCACCAAGGGGAGACCAAGAGATGTACCAGGAGTTCGACAAGTCGCGGATGGAGAAGTGCCGCAGCTCTGTGAATCATGAGATGACCTCCGGGATAGGTAGAGGATGAGGAAGTCATCTCGTGTTATGCTGCAATACCATGCATATATACATATCCAATCACATCACCATGCCACTCATCCTCACTTCTCGTTTCGCACACCAGTAACCGCACTACCACCGCATCTTCATCCCTGCTCCTTCACTTCCGACTCTTCGTCATCCTTCTCGTCCTCAGCCTTCCTCTTCTGCGCCGGATTTCCTTCTAACACCGCCATCTTCGCCTCCGGAACCATGGACGGCGCCACTGGCGCATGCTCTGGCGGCTTCTCAGACGGCAGAGGCGGATACACACCATCGTCTCTAATCTGCCAGCCATCGATCTTGAGAAGTTTCCACCTCTCTTTGATCTTGCATCGGACTAGTTCGCCCGTGGTGCGCGCGTCCTCGTAGCTGTCGTGACCCGCAGCGCCTCCTTGTTGGATTTGCTCGCCGAGGTGGTCGGATGCCAATTTTCGCAGGCCAAAACGAAAGGGCAGGCCACTGGGGTTTGGGTACAGGAGGACGGTGTCGATGATGGTGGGGTGGACGAGTCGAATGGTATTGAGGTCGTTTTCGAGAGCATGCCCGAGGACCGGGGTGGTGGGAGAGACGTGGGAGAGAAAGAGGTCTCTCGCTGCGTGGGGTGATTCAACGATTCGGAGGTCTTTGCGCACGGGTTTTGGGTTGTCTGGATCATATGGTTTCGCGTTCAGGTACTGGTCTGCGGTAATGCCAGAGAAGCGCGTGTTGAAGTCCAATACGTGTCCAAGTGGGCGGACCAGTACGTCGACAAGAGGTTTGTGTTGTGGCCATGTGATGACTGTGAGACGAAGCATCTCAAGGCCGTTGGTGGTATAGCCCATCTCGCAGTCGAAGCAAACAGCGGTGTCCTTCGGTACTTTGTCGTTCTCCGGTGTTTCGACAAAGGGCATGATGAGTGACAGTCGATTTGGGTCTTTGATGTTGTACACATGGGAAGGATGCGTAGTGCAGCCCGGTGATCCTACCTCCCCGTTGCAGCAACTGAACTTTGTAGGCTCTGGGGCGACGCCTCTTGTTTTCCTTGGAAAAACGCGCCTCCCCCAGTGATGTTTGCACTGCCCTCCTGTTGTAAGGGCTCCATCTTCTTCTCGCCGCTCCGAGAAGACCTGGAAACGTGTGTTGCAGCGGTCACACTGCTCCCAGCCGCCAGCTGCTTCGAGCGCCAACTTTGTCTCGTTGAGATCGGCCTCAGCAGGTACTTTGGTCACATAGCCGTGCTGGTCTAATCCATCCTGCGGGCACACAAGCCTGGGGAGGAATGTCATCTCTTCTTTCGCTGTAAGTCCCGTGTCTATCCTCTTGGGCGGCGCTTTCTTTGGTGGCTCTCCACTCTCCTTAGCGACCGCATCGCGCCGTTCCTTGACCCACTCTTCTGCTGGCATGCCTTTCAGCTTGACCAATCGTTGCTTGAGTATGTTCTCGTATACTGAGGGGTTTGATGTAGCTATCCTTTCCTCTTCGTCAACTGCTAGCTTGTTGAGTTGGTTTGCGGATAGATGCAGCGCTTTGATCTCGGGCTTGACTGCTTTGAGAAGCTTATCGTTCTGAGGCTTCATGTATGAATGTAGCGCCTTGAGCAAAGCAACCCGTTTGGTGAAGGTGGCGGGTTCTTTGTTGAGTTTGCGTGGCATTAAAGTAACAGGAGCATCGGGTTTGACGGCAGCCTTGGGCGCAGTTGCAGTCGGAGGTGGTGATACTGGCCGCGTGGCAGACTTAGGGAGAGTAGAGGCAGTGGAATTTGCGACAGATGCCTTAGAAGGGGCAGGGTTAACAGCCGCAGACCCATTGCTTGTTGTCTGTGTCTTGGTCTTGGGTATGTCCGTGCTGACCGAGACATCGGGCGTGTTCTGGGTCGACGTAGGCTTGGTGATAGTGGGTGCTGTCTTGTCGTGGTCAAGCTTCAGTCTCTTCGCGATTGGCTCCGAATCATATGTTGCTGCAGCTGGCGATGGAGATCGTGTTCTAGTGGGTTTTGTAGAATCGTGACCGAAGATGCAGTGAGGCAGGTCACACTTTGCACCCGAAGGACATGCTATATTGGCAAAGCTCCTGTAAGCTGGTACTGAAGGCCACATGATTGCTTCGCTTGCGACGTGTTCTTTCCTGTAAGTAAGTACAATGCCAAGCTGTATGCGCCTGTGACCTACCAGCACGCTATCTTAGGAAAACGCTGAACACTCTAGAGCCTACGTTGACGTTAGCTGACCTACTTTGTAAGTTCTTGTTTTAATGTAGTCTGCAGACCTGTTCAATGTTCTTCTTGTATGAGGTGCCAGGCTAGAGCTGACGAAGAGCTATACAGCCAATGGATGCGATGTATGAGAAATGGTCTTGGGTCTGACACCAGCCACACGTTTGATTGCACGGTGTTGCCACGGTATGAGGGAGTGACGGTTAAGCAATCAACATCTCATTGCGCAGAAAAAGATAGATGTAGATGCAAAGGCGGCTGGTACGACAGCCTACGCGTTAAGAGTCTTCTTGTAGCTTCACGAAGGGCAGTGTTGTAGAGACGCGCTGCACCCAGATTACCAGCAAGCTCCGGTATGAGCTTGAGCTGTCCCAAAGGAGCTAGAGTGTGCTAGATGGTGAAGGTGAGGGATGAGGTGAGATGCGCATCAGGCTCAGCCCTGTGGATGTTTAGCGCTAGACGCAGGGTCCACGGACGCGGGCGGGCGAACTTGCGACGGCGATCCGCCTTAATTCCGTCATGACGCGGTGATGCAACCCGTGCGCATCTCAAGGCCGCCTCCCTTTCACCCTCCACCCAGCGTCAATACCCACAATACATGCGCAATCTTGCTTGAGTGAACTTGCGCATCTACACACTGAATCCTTTTAATCTCGCCGCTTTCCGCGACATCACAAGTGTCCTCGTCGCATAGGAATTGCTTTTCGGACCGCGCGCGTCTCGGGTCATACTGCGCCTTTCGGACGACTTGTGGACGCCCGAGCGATATACAAATACTGCGCCTTTCACCCTAATACTGTCAGCCAAGATTAGTATCTCTCGCCATGTCTACCTCCATGAAAACCTCTAAGAAAGCCGACCATCTCTGTGTCCTCGTTCATGGGTACGTCCCTGTCTCCGTCGCACGGCTTATCGCCTCTTATCATGACAAGAAGGAACACTGTCGCTGACCACACCCAGCCTCTGGGGCAAGCCTGAGCACCTCAAATACGTCAGCACCACTCTAGGCGAACGATATCCAGAGGATAAACTGCACATTCTCGTGGCCAAGCGCAACGCTGGCAGCTTCACATACGATGGCATCGATACCGGTGGCGAGCGCGTGGCAGAAGAGGTGGAGAGGAAGTTGGAGGAGCTCGCTGAGGCTGGACACGACATAACGAAGATCAGTGTCGTCGGATACTCACTGGGAGGCTTAATAGCACGCTATGCTATTGGCCTGCTGTTCCACAGAGGCATCTTTGAGAAGATACAGCCTGTCGTATGTCTACGCAACCCCCCACAACCCTCCAGCTCAACATACTAACACTACCAGAACTTCACAACGTTTGCGACACCCCACCTCGGCGTACGAACACCCCTCAAAGGCTACCACAGCCACATCTGGAACGTCCTGGGAGCGCGAACACTCTCTATGAGCGGGAGACAGCTGTTCGGCGTCGACAAGTTTAGGGACACGGATCGATCACTTCTAGCCGTACTCGCGGATCCCGAAAGCATCTTCATTCGAGGCCTCGCCCAATTCAAGCATCGGAGTCTATACGCGAACGTCGTAAATGATCGAACGGTCACATACTACACCGCCGGCATCTCGCAAACCGATCCTTTTGTCGACCCGGACGACATCAAGATAAACTATATCCCAGACTACGAAGATGTCATTGTCGATGGCCAGCACCCAGTCTCGCACAAGGAGCCAGAGGAACCACCAGCGTTGTCACAACGGCTGGTACAAGGTACATGGACAATACTAGGAAGGACGGGCATTGTCGCTGCCTTGACGGTCCTCGTACCGATCGGCGTATCAGCTTTCCTTATCAACTCGGCATTCCAATCGATCCGCAGCCAGCAACGGATAAGACTGCATGAGGAAGGCAGATCGGGAATCGACTACGCGCGCTATCGCATACCGCTCATGATAAATGCCGTACGGCGCGAGGCCGAGGGCATGTACGAAAACGCAAACCATGTCCAGAGCCAAGAATATCTGAGCGAGAGCTACGAACACGTAGGGTCTGCTTCTCCACGCAAGGACGAGTCCAGATCCGACGTCGACTCGATACAGGAACAGAAAGAGAGCGCATCTCCCACCTTCCCCACACTAGCTCTTACCCAAGAACAATTCGGAATGATCGAAGCGCTGGACAACGTCGGCTTCACGAAGCATCCAGTCTACATTCACAACCATCGACACTCGCATGCAGCGATTGTTGTACGCATGAACAAGCCTTCTTTCAATGAGGGTAAGGTGGTCATCAAGCACTGGTTGGACAATTTTGAACTATGATGGACCTCCAAACACATTTCTGTCTGCATTTACAGCGTGGCGCATGGAGTATCTTTGGGATGGCATTCTCAGGATATAGAAGCGGCTTTCTGTTGGGCGAGCTATACCTTGATCACTTGTGTTTAAGTATGTGTTTTCAATTACGAATGTTTAATGTGTTACTACACCACTACTGCTGCGCCAGTCACTCATCATCGTCCTCGTCCTCCTCCCCCTCATCATCATCCAACTCCCTCTCCTCCCCCGCAAACCGAAACGTCAACCCCCTCACAACCCTCGCTCGAAAATCCATCCGACACATAATCTCCACCCTCACAACCTCGTACTTCGCCGTCTCATACACCCTCAGCGCATCCTCCTGCTCCTGCGACACAACCTCGTAAGCGCACCCCTCAACACACGTTCCAGGGTTGTCGACCAAAGCTTTGTACTTGCCGCCCCACGTTCTGATCTTTCCGGAATGAATCATAGCTGGATATAGTGTGTGTTGGTGACCTGGTGGTGAGTTGAATAGGTGGGCTAGGTATGAGGGATTGGCTAGGGTGCCGTAGAAGAAGTACCATACGGGATATTGGTTTTGTGCGGGTTGGTAGTCGGAGGGCGTGATGGTTTGGGGGCGACGGTGGGGGAGTGTGGTGTCGTAGCCGAGAGTTGGGTATGCGGAGAATGGAGAGAGGGTTTTGCGTGCGATGTTGATGGGGATGAAGGTTGGTGAGATGGTGGGGTAGGTTGTTGCAAGCCAGTGCTTGATTGTAGGGATGTCGATGTCGCGGATTTGACAGAATAGCGCGTCGCCGTCTTCGCCTTGCCCTTGGTGGAATTGGGGTTGGGTGGGAAGGATGGCAGCAGATGCGAGGATTGTGGGGGTAATGGATGCGGTGATCTTGAAGAGGTAGTCCATCTTGCTCGATTTGCGCTTGGGGGTTCCATTCGCTGGAGTCTGGCACTTGGTGGCTCGGATGAGATCTTCTAGCTCGGAGGACAGCTTGGGTGCTGCAGTATGATCGAATGGGGTGGCATCGCCGGTCAGCTCGTCCAGCGCGTTCATGCCGTCTAGGCATAGATCTTCGGGGTAGCTCATGATTATTGTGAGGTTCGAGAGTGTAAGAGATGAAGTTCTTCCGCTGCAGGTCGCGCCTTCACATGTTTTATTTAGGCTTTCACCCTTTTTGAGTCACAGCCACACGTTATACCGCACCTTGGTTGTTATTCAATGTATCCAGTGGTACTGCAGTGAGCCAGTAGATCACGACGAATTACTCACAGCACCCACAATCCATACCAACACATCCTTTGAGGCTTACATTGTCCAGTATCACCTTAGGCTGTCAGAGTGGGATCTACTGAGTCTCTCCTAGGTGTCGCAAAGCTTGTGGAAACTTTCGTTATCGCAGGTTCTTAGACTCCAACCCGACGTTCGTCGCTTACAAAATTGTTCATATATGCATGGGTAGCGAGGGCCAATCCAGCGGGTAGCGGGCACGAGGCTGTGCACGCTAGACGCTAGGCTAGACCTGGGCAGCACTTTCGATACGGTGCTTCTACGACGCATCAAAAGCACACATCACTAAAAGCGCACCCGAAATTTTGCTGACATGCTTCAGTTTATCGACCCAGCCGACTAGAGATAAAATGAGGGTGCGAGAAGAGATCATGAGAAGGTTTGAATTGGCAGGGGAAGATCATCGCGTACGAGCGGCATTGCGCAACCAGTGCATCAGTGCTAAGCCTACGCCTACATACACAGCCACGTCATACTGGACGTCCATCCCTATTGGTTGACCAGAGACGACACCACCTCGAGTAAACAGCGATCCAGATCACCACTTGAAGTCCCCGCCCTCGATCGTGGGAAAGTGTCCCGAGGTCTCCCCCCTCGTAGCCTTGTCAATCTACGCAACGTCAGCATCAACTCTGCACAGCAGCCTCGCGAAAAACTTACCGTAGATACCAAAAAGTTGGCACTATCCTCAACAGTAATAAAGGCCTTCTCCATACCAAACGTCTTCGCTCCTTCATTACCCATATCAGTCTGCACAAACCCAGGGTCGAGCACAAAGGCGGTAAGCTCCGGGTGATCAAAGTGCGCCTTGCAAACCATCCAGTGCAACATGACTTTGGACATTCCATACGCAGCCATGGGGAACGGACGGCTCTCCATACCGGTGATACTGGCGATTGGCGTTCCGAGCGCAGCGAACTTGGGGTTGGATGATTTGAGGAGCAGGGGCAGCACAGCTTGGAAAAGAAGGAGGGGTCCGTAGGCATTGACTTCGACGTGCGACTTGAGCACGTCGAGAGAGACTGAGGCAACGGGGGCGTAGTCCGAAGAGACGCCGGCGTTGGCAATGACGGTGTCGATGGTGGTGATACCTTGGCTCTTGAGTTCTTCGATGGCCTTCTTCGGGCCTTCGGTGTCGCGGCTGTCGTAGGCGGTGACGATGAGCTTGCTGTCTTTGCCGACAGGGAGGGACTTGAGTGGCTCCGCGGAGCTGGTGGTGCGTGCTACGGCAATGACGGTGTTGTTTGGGCGCGCCAGGTAGGTCTCGACCATTGCCTTTCCGAGGCCTAGAGAATGGTTAGTTGAACATCGAATAAGATGCTAGGTCAGCCAGAAGTACCTCTAGCAGCGCCAGTGATGAGGTAAGTTGTTCCTGCCATAGTGGAGAAATTGTCGCTGGGAGTTGACGAGTTCGAAGTCTTTTTGCTGGTAGATTGATCTGTGTTGGAGCTGTCGGACTTGAAGCAGGAGAACAATGCAGAGAAGGGTGACATGTATGGGTTGTTTGATCAGCACAGTTGTCTACTTAACCGTAGACCTACGATCATGTTTGGCTGAATTGATAAGCCAAACTCGAAGGAGCGCGCACGTGTGACACAGTTTGCATCTTTGTCAGCTCGGTCAATCGCAAGCGCGAGCAATTGCGGCTGAAATGTCAGCAGATACAAAGACAAAGACAAAGACATATTGCGTTGCAAATGTGGACTTGATGCACGGACGACGCCGCAATTCCATGGGATGCTGACCTTGCATGATTAGTGTAACATAATCGACGGCCCGCTCTCCACGTTTCGGGTGAGCAACTTTCGACGAGTTCCGCTGGCCTGGAACGCTAGAAACGCCACACTGGTTGCCTTTGCTGATTGCCTTATATCGACCTCGCTGGGCGTTCAGCCGCGCATACCTTCGTCTGCAACCCCCAATGCTCACAGGCACTTATTGCCAATGAGTGTGTTTACAAATCGACACGCATATGGAAATACGCGCCTGCGGTCTTAACAAAGTCGCCTGCTATTGCACGGAAGACAATCAAATTCAGAATTGGATGATTCTCCTATGGTGTACGGAGAGTAGTTTCCGAGTTCGCAACTCTACTTAGGTACATCACACAAGATAGCGATGTGTTGAATAGTCGTCAGTATTGCTTTGAAGCTCTCACCGTGTATGTGTACATTGTAATCTTGTGGATAGAATAAGATATAGCATCATGCGAAGTGTGTTGTATACCTAGGTAGGCAGTTGATTGACGGCGTGGCTATCACGTGATCAGTCTAGACCGAAACAAGGTTAGCTCTCGGCGCTAGACAGAGTAGTGCCAAACTCCGAGCCGGGCTGAGATCACCCACAGCACTCGGCCCTGTCTTCAGCGGGTGCCTGAGACCCTGCACGTGTGCGCAGTCATTAACGTGAGTCTTAGCCATTCTTGCTCGCTATATAGCTCAAGCCACCTGCCCGTGCCGTAACAATGCAACCCTCCATGGATGCCGTGGAACGGCGAAAGATACAGAACCGACACGCACAGCGACGCTTTCGCAGTAAGTGATTTAGATTGCTAGAAGGCCCGAACCAAGGCCGGGCCCTAGTCCGAGTCAAAGGCGCGCCTTCTATTATTATTGAGGCTTCTGCGACTACTCGGCCCTTTGATACTGACCGTTCGGGCACTGCAGGCAAGAAGGCGACTAAAAATGGAGGAGAGCCATTCACGACAGCGGCGGCACCGTCCGCTGCAGCTACAGCGAGCGGGCCAATTATACAGCCGCGCCCGCAGTCAAACCACGATGTGCTGGCATGGGGCAGCGAGGGAAGGCTATCTCACCCTCACGCAGCTGGACTACAGACGTCGGAGCAAGACCCGATGCCCCCATCGACGACCCCCAATGACGGCAACACACTACGAGGGGACGTCACAATTACAGGGCTGCTCCGCCAACTTCAAGATTCGCCTATTTCGCCATCGTTGCGACCACGGTAAGATACTCTCAATGCTATGGCGTGGCGATCTGGCTGAGTGACATGCAGCTCGCACATGAACATGACCGACTTCAACTTCCCACCGTCTATGACACAGTCACGTCACGCTGTGCTATGGCCCCACGACCCTCCAGCCGAGGCCATGGTCTTCAGTACTGACGACGCTGGGGGCTTCTACTCCAATCAAGACACAAACAGAACCGCGTGGCCTGACATCGGAGCGAGCCGCGCCCAAACTGGGTCTGAAAGCAGCGGTGATGCGGTAAATTTCGAGACGTGTCATAAAGCTGGCGAATCACTAACATGAGCGCAAGTCACAAATCAACACTCGTATAATCACCCCCAACCTCTTTGTCGATGGCCGCATTGGAGAAGACAACGACCTCGACGACGACGAGCCCTTTCAGACCAACCTCCACATCGCGGCCGAGGCCGGTCATGACAGCCTCGTAGGTCTTCTGCTGGGCTCGGGGTACACCGTCGATGAACCCGACAGTGACGGCAACACAGCTCTGCATAGGGCCAGTCTTGGTAAACATGTGAAGGTGATGTCGAGGCTACTCAAAGCCGGTGCAAATCCCAACGCGATGAATGTTCACGGCTGGACTCCCGTGCATATGGCCTTTTCTCTCGGCTCGATGGAGGTAGTAGAGGTCCTGGTCCGACATGGTGGTGATCTGAACAAGCGTGCGAAAGGTAAGTTGAGCTGTGACAGATTCAAGGAAGCTCTCGTAGCGAAGGATCGAGGGCTTTCGCCCGAAAAATAGCTAGGATTTGTTATCGCTGTTGTGAGCATTGGCAAAGGCTAAAGTACGGTGAAGCAACACAGAGTCTGTTAAAAGGACTCATGGCTTTTCGGGCTAATAATAAACAGTAACCGCTGTCTGCAACTTTCCTCATAAGGCGTCGGGTGCAAATGATTTATCTCGATATGCCAACTACAATACTAATTCGTAAGACCAGTTCCACGTCGCACAGTCGTCCGATATGCCCATCCTCACATTGTCCAGACACGATCCTCCCTCTACCATCAAACATTTCGTCTCACCAAGGGTAGCGGCGGTCAATGGTCTCGTTGAAGAATTGCTCAGAATGCTCCTTCTTGGTGGCATTATCGACCTAGAGCCCCGTTAACGACAGACAACGCTGTAGAGAAGTTATCAAACTCACAATGTGCGCAGTGTTCTTGCTGCTGTCCTCGAGGGTGAGAGGTGCCTTCTCCAGACCGAAAGCGCGTGCGCCCATGTTGCCCATGTCTGTTTGGACGAGGCTATTCACACGACATGTCAACGTCGGCATCGCAGGACAAGCTTAGAGATATCTTACCCAGGATGAATGCACAGCGTGATCAGCCAGTCGTTTTCCATACCCATCTTGCGGACCATGACGTTGGCGAGCGCCTTGGAGCCGGTATAGCTGATATTGGGATAAGGAAACTCAGGCATGTTGTTGATACTGCCGCCAGCAGCGCTGATGAAGGCGAAGCGGGCCGAGTCTGACTTCTTGAGCAAGGGTAGGGTCGCCTTGTACAGTATCATGACGGAGATGGCATTGACCTGGAGAGCGTTCTCGAACTCCTCGAGTGGCACATCGGCGACGGTGTTGAGCGGCGCGATACCAGCAGCTGAGATGACGACGTCGATTTTGTCGATGCCCTTCACGGCCTCGTATGGGTCCGTCTTGGATGCCGAATCGATCTTGACGATGAGGACTTTGGTGTTCTCGCCTTTCGAAACACCGAGCAGGGCTTGAGCACCGGCAGGATCGCGCACTGCCGCGATGAGGGTGTTGTTTGGCTGGGCGACATAATGGTCGAACATGCCGCGGCCGATGCCTGCATATCCAGTCAAATCAGTTTAGCAATCCCAAGTAGGTCAAAGGCACGTACCGCGGTTAGCTCCCGTGATGAGATACGTCTTTCCAGGCATGTTGTCGGAGGTGCAGCGGGTATGGTGAGAATGGTATGTAGGTCGCAGTTAGATGCAGTCGGTTATAGCGCGAGCCGGCCAATATCATGGTTCTGCTCCATGGCTGTCACTCCCTGAGTTAAGTAGCCACGTGACACTGCACGGTCACCTGCAGCCTTGTCTAGCAGGAAAGCACCGAGCTGCCATTTCTAAGCAGCGTGCACGAGCGTGGCACAGCTTGATGTTTACATTTATGATTATTTTGATGGCTCCTAATTGGCTGTAGCACACCCACCCGCGGCCCGTCACACTAATGCAAGGTCAGCATCCTGTAAGATTGGTCCGTGTATTACATTCTTGTGTTCGCGCCCGTCTCGTCATGATCCGATTGCAATGACTTTGCGTGGTCATCTTCACCTACTCAGCGACCACCAAACGCAGTGAATTTGCCATGCATGCTTCAAGTCAGCACTCTGCAGCTTCAGGTGCACATTTGTACAGCTCGAAAGCTTTGATACAATATGTCTGCGCGAACAGCCTGCGGTTGAGATCCTCAGAATTCTGTCATGAATCAACTCTTCCACAACCTTGTGTCCTCGACCTACGGGCGGATTGGACTTGTGTCTAGCGTGTTCCTCACGCTATACGTACTTTACGTCTCCATCTATCGTCTCTACTTCCATCCTCTGCGGAGCGTTCCAGGTCCTAGGCTTGCTGCGTTGACGCAATGGGTCGAAACGTACTATGAGTGCTTCAAGGCGCCCGGTGGTCAATTCATGTGGGAATACCAGAAATGGCATGAGAAATACGGTATGTCTACATGGTGCAGGAAGCAAATGCTGTTTGCTCACCACTTCGTTGCAGGGCCTATCGTGCGTGTTAGTCCAAACGAAGTACACATCCAAGATCCCACCTTCTACGATACCCTGTATGCGCAGTCTCGCCACTCGGACAAGCTGAAGCATCTCGAGCACCGCTTCAACAATGAGATGTCCTCGTTTGCTACTGCTGAGCACAGTCTTCATCGTCTGCGTCGTAGCGCGCTCAACCCCTTCTTCTCTAAACGTAAGATAACTCAGTACTCGCCTCACGTCCAGAGTCATATGGATCGTCTCTGCAATCGCATCGATTCCGAATTCGTCGCCAACGGAAAGACGATGAACCTGAATAATATGTGGGGCGCCTTCACTTCAGACATTGTCGTCGGATACTGTCTCGAGAAGCCGTATGACTTTATCCTGAACCCTGACTTTCGCGCCCAATTCTCCGACGCCATGTATGCCACCTTATGTCGAATCATACACGTAGCATGACTAACACGCTTTAGGGTTGATCTTCTCGATCCTGTTCACTTCATCACGCAATTCCCATGGATGATCAGATCCCTGAAGCTGCTCCCAGACTGGCTCGTCGTGCTCCTGTCGCCGCCAATGCGCTCCGTCATGACTTTCAACAAAGAAATGGAGACGCAAATCCAGCACGCCAAAGCCGTACATGCCTCTGGGGAAAAGACAATGGCCATCCCATCTCTTTTCACAGCTCTCCTCGAGTCCGACCTCCCGCCCAGCGAACTCTCCACCAAACGCCTGCAGCACGAAGCCATCTCCGTCATCGGCGCAGGCATCGAAACAACAATGTACACGCTGTCGACATGCTCGTACCACCTTCTCGCCAATCCTGTGACGCTGGCCAAGTTGTGCGCTGAACTCGATGCAGCGATTCCAGATCCAAATCACATCCCAAATCTCGACGCGTTGATGCAGTTGCCGTACTTGACTGGCGTGGTCAACGAAGCTCTGAGATTCGGCTACGGCACTCCTCAGCGCATCCCTCGCCTCTCACCAACACCCATGGTCTACCACACCCCCGAAGTAGACTACCAGCTCCCTGTAGGGACTATCGTGAGCATGGACCATTACACCGCCTCTCATGATCCAAGTATTTTCCCCGATCCGTTCGCGTTCGTGCCGGAGCGGTGGGCAAACGATGCAAAGGCACCAGATGGAAAGGCGCTAACAAAGTACCTGATTGCATTTGGACGTGGTACGCGGAGCTGTGTGGGCATGCAGCTTGCGTATGCGGATTTGTACATTGGCATTGCGAGTTTCTTTCGCCGGTTCGAGTGCGCGCTGTTTGAGACTGGGCGCGATGCCGTTGATCTGTACCTCGATAGCTTTGTTCCGCGCGCGAAGCCGGGGACGCAGGGAGTGAGGGTCGTTGTTCAGAGGAAGCGATAGCGTTGTTTTGTTGTTGCGCTGCGGTAGTTGGGCCCGGCACAGGCCCGGGGGCCGACGATGCCCGAGGCTGTGCACGCTGGACGCTAGGCTGCAGCCTTCTTCGACGCGCTGAATGCCACACAGCCCGTAACTCATCTTTCTGTGACGATAATCTGAATTCTCACGAACGCGACAGTGCTATAGATACTGCTACCATGCCTGCTCCAACCCCACCGCCTCTTCCGCCTGCCCCAAAGCCCGCCTCAAAGGCCATAAACCTGAAAGTATCAGCACCACCATCTCAAACAAAGCATGGTCACAGTACGAATGCCTTACGAGTTCCACCTGATCAATCCTTTAGTCCTTGCAACATGTTCCTGTACGGCTCACTTATGGACCCGGAAGTCCTACAAGCGGTCCTGAGCCTTCCAGAGCTTCCCACCACACGACCTGCAACCATTACCGGGTTCAGAGTCAGAATGTGGAGCATATACCCAGCGCTCATATTTGGAAATAGTGATGAGGAAGTTTCGGGCGTGGTGTGGAAAGTAGAGAAGGAAGATCATTTCAAGCGTCTGCAGGAGTACGAGACTGGTGCTTACATCTGGACTTGGTGCGAGGCGACTTTGGATGACGATAAGAAAGTCCGCGAGAAGTGTCGGACATTTTGTTGGGCTGGTGACCCGGATAGTAAAGAGCTGGAAGATGGGGATTTTGATATGGCGCGGTATCAGAGGGTACTAAAACCGTCCATTGTCAAGAAGCGACCTGTGGTGCCATGAGCATAGAATTGGAATATCTTGTAGAGACAGAGTCGCTAGAGCGTGCCTCGTATTGGCACATATGAGAGAGCACCATCAAGGTGTTGTGCAACCTGAAGACCGACATGCTATCGGTGTTGTCTACATGCACCCATCTTATCATATCGTATAATGCAGGCAACGCCTAGTTCTCCCACCTCCTCATGTTCGCCATCATTCACGACGTCTACTATATTGGCAAGGTCTGCGTCCGCATTCGATAACCCGGCGTGTCTGCATCCCAATACGCTATCCGAAAATTCGAGCGATCGACCGCATCTACATGAGGACGCTTCGCGCTGAACTAGATTCTCCTATCCATATCGAGTTAGTATTGGATTTATACACGTGAAGGTGTGCCAATGTACATCTCGACTCATGATGGTATGCAGACGCCATATCTTCGAGCATGATGGTTGTATGTAGCGACCACGTATGCGAACGCTGGTGTTGGAGTAAGATGTTCCGACTTCTGATCGGTGTATTTGGAGGAGGTGTGTGTATCGGAAGAATAGCGCTCGTTTCTTAGGCAGATTAGCTGCGGGCGAATATGGTGTGAGAGGATGTATGCACACCAAGGTCCTGCCGAGCTCGGCGCCGCATATATAGTTTGTAGAGAAGCCATATAGTTGGTGGACACGTGACGAAGAGAGCGACGATAGCAACGATGCTTTGGGTGTCGAGTGCCATGCTCTAGAAATCGAGTGCAATGACGATAGAATTGACAGAGCGCTCCCTGCCGTATGGACAGATCTCAAATTAGTGGAATCTTGCGGCTGCTGCTTGATCTTGGGAATAGGAGCGAGCGATGACTGTTATATACTTCCTGCTACTGCGGGATTCCACCATGAAGCAAGCATGCCTGACTGCATGACACCGATTTTTATTTCCCAGCCTTCAAGACAGAGCGGCAACGTCATGCACCCTTGATAGAAGATTGTGTTGACGGCCAACCACATTGGCGACCCATTTTCGCCTGATCAATCCAAAGAGGGTCGGGACGCCAGTCTGCACAGCACTGTCGGAACATCCGCACATCGTCGCTTGTATCATGTATCAGGCGTAGGATGGCGACCCAGATTGCCGGATACGAACCGTCGGAGTGAGGATTTTGGTTGCGACCAATCATTCCTGCGCAGCTAGATGGCGCCAGTCGGTGCGCTGTGATGCTTCCAAGGTTTGATTCAGCCTTCGCGGGGGTTGCACCCTCGCAACGGCTGAAGCGCGAAGCAAGAAGGATTCTTATTCCAGCCTGTCAGGACATCTCATCAAAACCTGGCGAAGCCGTAAACTGTATGCTATGACCGAGCCGCAGGGGTCGGGACGACTGC